CATTGTTGGTTATTGTTAGGCTGCTCCAAACTTAGGAACAGCCAATAATAACCTTAGTGACTGATCCTGACAGCATGACAGGATCAGATCTCACTAAAGGCTTCTGATCATTCCCAGATGATCAGACGTCTGATACAATGTTTCAGCATAGAAATATATTGTTACATATTTCTGTGTTGAAGAACGTATTATAACAAAACAGCCTGTAAACATTGGGGAAGTCCCGATCGCTACAGAGCTGTCAAAACTGAAATAGCAGAGCAGTGAGCACACATTCTGCTTATCTGCTATTTCAGCTGTCAAATACTAAATCGCGATCCGGTATTTGTAACAGCTTCATTCTTTCACTGATAAAAGAAAGAAGCTTTTACAAAAGCCTAAAGGAGAACTATGAGGTGATTGATTTCCACTCATTCTCATAGTTAGAGCCGACCTGTGACAAAGAAGCTGTTACAGGTCAGCTCTATCAATCGGGAAGTGAACTGAAACATGCACCGATCCGCTCACTTCCCTATCGGCTCCCTGCAGCTCTGACTGGGGGAACGAACAGGGGAGGGGGCGGGCACAGCTAGCTCTGCCTCTAGATTGGCAGAGCCAGCTATCACTCACACAGTATTGTCGGGATCTGTCTTGGCTGCGGCGCTCTCAGTATATCGCGGGCAATAGCAGCCCGCGATATACTGAGTTTTGGGTCATGCAAGGAGGTTGATTAATGGCATCCTGTGACCCTAAAGAGAACTATGGGGAAAAACACTTACCCCATAGTTCTCTTTTAACTATTTCATTAATGGATGCCTCAATGACTCATTAATCAACAGTAAACCTTGATTCTTGGTGGTTACTGGCATTTCAAAGCCCTGAATAGCTGTAATAGTAGTATACGTCTCCAGTCCAGTCATGAAGGGGTTAAGCTTAAGAGAGATCATTCATATTTATACAGTTGAACTTCAAACCCAAAGGGGTCAATCCTCCCAGTGGGGCAAAAGGACAGGCCTTTAACAAGTAAATGACACTCGCCCTCTGACAGCGGACGTGGTGACAAGTTAATCAACTGACTTTCCTCGATGGCTGGCCCTTGTTGGATCACATGCGGATTCCTGGACCCGTCGCCCTTCCTGGATCGCGATGTCTCCGTCCATGTGAAGAGCGGGTGCAGGACCCTTGGTTGATGTCAATGCGCCTGAAGAAGCACATGGTTCACTGTCTGAAGAGGAGTTTTCAATAGGGCGGTCACTCCCAGATGATGTGGTATAGCCTCATTGTGTTTGTGGTTTTCTCCTGGGTTGTGGTCTCCCTCCGCTCACGGTTGTTGCCTGTGAGCCATGGAAAGACACGGCGGAGTGCGGGTGACTTTTTCAACAAACCCACAATGCACCGCATTATCTTTGTCCTTGGTCAGCTCAGTCAATGAGAGACACTGACATGAAAGAATGAACAAGACAGTCCCTCACTGTAAAGGAAGCCATATTGTTAATTTGTATTGGAGCTGGTTAGGGAAAGCTGCCAAATCTTTGAAGGGAGAACTTAGGGAAAGATAAAATGCCCTGCACTGCCTGTACCTTCATAGGAAAACATGTCTCTGTACCTGGACAACGCTGTTGGCGGCAGGGTACAAATGACCACAGACACCTGGACCAGTAAGCATGGGCATCAATCCTTTATATAATTCCCTGTGTATAGGTTAACCCTATGGTGTCTGGAAATGGGTAGATGCAGCATGGGCCATACCACTCAATATTTTGGTTCAACCTCATTGTTAGATGGTGGTGGCTCTTTGAGCTCTGACCCCTCTCATTTGTCTCATCCTCCAAGTCCTGCTCAGCATCAGAGCCACACCAGGGTAAGAGCTACTGTCATTTCTCCAGATCCATCATTGGTGTAAGCAGAGCCCAGAAATACCATAGGAATATCATAGGAATACATTGGGATGCATTTCAGGTGCAAATAAAAACTGTTCTGTTCCGGACATGGTGTAAACAAGCCCTTAGTGTTTCTCCTTGAACATGCATTGCGCAGCCTGATAGTCCATGCACTGAAAGCATAACAGTCAGATAAAAGGTATGATTTCATTATATCCCAGGGCAAGCAGGAACCTCTGTCCACTGCTTCCATCCCTGGGATACAGAGATCGCAGGAGGCTGAGGAAGACTTTTAATCAATGTATAACAATTGTTTTAGATAACTACAATTAAGTAATACTCCTAAGCCATCTGAAAAGTAAAATTATAATTATCATCGGAGTCCATCCACGATTTAAAAGAAAATAAACCCCATAGCAAAACATCCGCTTATTCACTTGCATGCAGAGACTGCTGATTACAAGAGTACTGTTGACAGCAGAAACTTTGAAAGAGGTCCTCACTGCTGTGCTTTGCAGATGTAAACTGGCCATATACCTATAGATTTTCTGCAGATGGTCAGATGGAAAAAATGCAACAGATTCCTCCATCTACGCTAAACTTTGTGGATGGAGACATCTCCCACTGGGCCAAGCTTCAGTATCTTGCTAGTCAGCCCCGCTGGCTCTCAAAATACCTGAACAATGCCTGCATCTATTTAGATTGTTCAGGTATTTTGACAGCCAGCGGGGCCGACTAGCAAGATACTGAAGCTTAGCCCAGCAGGAGATTCCTCCATCCACACAGTTTAGCGTAGATGGAGGAATCTGCTGCACTTTTTCCATCTCACCATATAAAATCTGCAGAAAATCTATAGGTGTATGGCCAGCTTTAGTTTGGAGATGCTGCATGTGTACCAGTGCTGCCATAATTAGGCTGCAAAAAAGGAGGGTTGGGGAGGAGGAAGGCAGAGAGGTCTCCGGGTGAAGTTTTAAACCTTCCCAAAACGTAGACATTATACATAGGTAGGGTGAATAGTTGGAGGACAACACTGTCCTCAGTGGCATATGTTGCTGATAAAATTGTCTGAAAGTTTTTTGTTACTGGAGTCAACCTGATTGAGGCGCTGCCGTATGTAAGCTCCTTCTAAAAGCAGTGCACAGCCAGATATACACTGCCACAGTTGCCTGCGTCCGAGGAGACTGCCCATAAATATTGTGCTGTTCCGTAAGGCCATATACAGCTTTAGGCTGGGTTTACACCTAGACGTAACGAATATGCGCGTTTGTCGTTTCCGAGGGCTACCTGGCTGTATCCCAATGGATACGCGCGTCAAATACGCCCCAAAGAAGCTCCTGTACTTCTTTGGGCGTAGGGCGTTTTGCAGCGCGTTCCTACGCGCTGTAAAACCCCCAGGTGGGAACCATGCCCATAGGCAATTGGTTTTCACATGTTGAGCGTTTTACAGAGCGTAGGAACACGCTGTAAAACGCCCAGGTGTGAACCAGGCCTTAGGGCCTGTTCACATGAGTTTCAGGTCCTGATCAGGTCCGGATCAAGTGTGGATCTGCAGACGCAGTGCTATGTGTTTTTGCCGCGTTTTTGCTGCGTTCCAGTTAAAAAAAAATATATATATATTTTTTTTGCTGGAGTGGGGCTGTCAGTATGTTAGCTGCAGTGCAGTGCGTTTTTGACGCGTTTTGTGTTTCCCGACCGTACAAAATGTGACATGCAGTATTTTTCTGTCGGAACCTGAACGGACTGCACATGTGAGAACTGTAGCCCATAAAACACATAGGGATACATTGGGATGCATTTTTAGTGCAGGAGCGTACGGATCAGGTCAGCACAGAAAACGGACGTTGTGTGAACAGGCCCTTAATGCTTCCTACAAACCTGTAATTTAAAGGGTTTCTGTATCTTCCAGCAGCCCTCAAAAACACATGAAAATATCATCTCCCTTTTTTTCTTTAATTGTGCCATGGACACATGTCAGTGCCTAGCTTCCTACGCCTCTGCTGACAATAGTTTGTTTAACAACCCCCCAAAATGGACAAATTGAATATCAAGATTTGCCCACCATAGACTTCAGTGGAATTTGGAGAAGTTTATTTTTTTTACATTTTGAGCATATATTGTAAAACTGGCTGTGAATAGAACCCTGGCAGTTCGCTCATCCCTACAACGCACAGACACCAAAAATAACCTGACACAGGCTACAACTCTTACCTGAACCATTTGGCCACCTGACTTTATTAATGTTCTTCAATTGCTAATAGCAAAATGTGAATGAATAAAGCATCTGATGGGCAAGCTTAAAGTGTAGTTCCACTTTCATAGGCAAATCTGAGAAAACACCTACTATATTTTTGTCATGTATTCCGAATCACACAGCATACCAAAAAAATATTTTATATAAATTATTTCTTACCTTTTAGATAACTCTGTTTAGCAGGTCTTTGCATGCTCCTCTCTCAGCAACAAGACATCTCTGACTGTCCTAATAGAAAGACCTAGGACAGACTAAGCTTCCCCACATTAACATACAATGAAAGAAGCCAAACTTCTAGATTTTTAACCCTTGGTTAGCACAGACTGTTTTCAAACCTAGTTTACAACTGATAATGAGATTACCAGCCAAGTACAGTCAGTGTTAATTAGAGCAAACATTACTATCCCTCCCCCACCCCCCTGCATTACAGAGGAAAATGTTTCCTTGATAATTTAGTATGTTTTATGCAAGTATCAATTTATTTATCTTTTTTAATTATGCTATGTGAATGAGAAACATGTAACAAATATAAAAATATATGTTATCCCAATTTGGCTGTGAAAGTTGACATACACTTTCAGAGAACTCCAAAAAAGTGCCACATTCACTTCATAATAAATATGCAATCTTAACAGACCAGAGAGAGAACAAACATGTACACCTAGAACAGGGCAATCCTGGGAGGAACACAGTTACAATAACCGACTGGTAGTTTACATCTTGTACTACATAAGACTTGTAAGATACTGCTATGCTCACAAATGATTCAAGCCAGCAGTTGCCAGCAAATTGTTCTTGAGAAGTTCCACCTTTTTTAAAAAAAAGAAATGACTGAAAGGTCACTAAATAATCCCAATTCTATATAAGAGGTTAAAGAAGTGTACACTTACCAACCCATTGAAGGGGATATCTGCCCAACTCCTCCAGCTGGTATTGAGTAAAATGCTGGGATATCAGGTGTTTGGGAAGGTCTGTGGGAACCTGAGTAGATAAAAACAATATTTATCAACTAAGATAACGGTAATGAATACAGTATACAAACTACAGTATGTGTAATACAGTGCACAGCTCAAGGGTACTTTATAAACATGTACACTTGAGTTGAGAGAGTAGACATTTAAAGGACAGGAAGGGGTATGTATAGCTAATGTGGACCTAAATGGCAACAATATGTCAATAACTAACTTCAATGCTGCTTAATTTTAATGTGTGGTTATGCCATAATATATATTTTATAACAAGCACCTCCGATGCTATGATAGATTGAAAACTGGAAAAGTTTGTAGATTTTACAAATTACAGTGAGCATGCTTTATGCCAGTAAGCAGTCTGCTTATACTTTCATTAATATTGGCACACAACTTTATGTACATGCAACATGAAGGAATATAAAATCAATACAACTAAAAATATGGTCTGTGTTGCTACACTGCATTATTTATTATTATGTATTATATTTAGTGACTTCCCCTTCTAGGTGGCATGTGGTTGATTGAGCTGAAGTGCTGCTAACCTGGTTAACAGGACATATTAACAAAAACAGAAGTTGCTCTTAGCACCCAACTAGGTACCTCTAGGGTCTGTGATGGTGGACTTCTGTTCACTTCAAGTAGGTTTTGCAATCCCCATTTCTATAGGAATGGAAAATCCATTTGCAACAGGTCAAACACAGGGCAGAAGAAACTTGCTTGTTTTTACTTTTGTGATTGTTTGACTGCCATTTTATTGATAGTACTAAACAAAACTTGAGTCAGAGATACTACCCTATTTAGCATTGTTTCTCTCCTTCAGCACTTTGGTCCTCACTTGTTAAAAAAACCCCCCACATAATTGAAAACCTAGGAGTCAAAGAGATATTTGCTACAAAAAAATGTCCCCGTGATCTTGTATGGAAAATTCACACTATGCGGGTTAGTGATGTCATTCTTTGAGTGGAGGATTGAGATGGAGTAGTGTCATTCTTTAAGTTGTACAAAAGGGATCTTTTCTTGCGGTGAGGTTCTGATGCGAGTTAAAATGGGGTCATGTATGCTTTTTGAAGGAATATCACACACAAGCTGGGATTTACCACTGTTTGATTATTAATAAACTTATGTGAAAAATAGTGCACTTTTAAGCACGTCTGCTTCTGATTCCTTATTGGATTTTTCTTCTGCTGACATGACAAGGGTACTTTAGAGGGATCTTTTCCCCCATTCACCATTCCGCACTGTGACCTGTTCCCCACCAAACTCCTCCCCCCACCACCATTTTCCACAATAAACACGCTAGACCGTATGGAGTTCAAAAGGGCCACAGCAGCCACTTATTTATTTAATTTAAATACCAACCTTCAATACAAAAATAAAACCAATATATTATCTGCAAACAAAACATATACCAGTATAACATTTCTTTTAACCCCAGGTTTCCGGGTCCCTGAAGGCACCTGTAAACAAAGGAAACACCGCCCCATAACAAATTGTGTCTACGCCTTCTACGTCTTCCAGGGGGAGCACCTGAAACACAAGAAGAAAAACAACAGCTCTACCACGTGGGCCCAACGGAAAATACCCCTCTCCACCAAATGCACATAGCCCCCCAGAAACAACAACAAAACCCCACACATACTCTGCGAAGGAAAAAAACACAGGGACAACCCACGCCAACCCTCACAGCCACTGTGGCCGCACATACAGCCTGTACCTATTCGACTGCCACCGTCCTATGCGCCGGACCGTGCTCTCATCTAAACCCCACCGCGCCGCCTCAGTGGCAGTACCGATGCGGAACGGATGGGCCGAGTACTCCGCCGCATTGGCACCCAAGCCATCCAGATGAATGAACAAGGGGCCGTCCCCATCCGGACGCACCCCCAAAAACTCACCTAACGCCCGAATCAGGCACAAAGATGAGTATGCCCCACGGGACAACTCCACATGCAACTCCTTGCCGAGCTGGTCGGTCTTGGATCGCCGAATACAAATCGACACTGCACACTCCGTCGGGGCCACATCGCAGCGCTGCAACCCACCCCTACCCGCCTTCGAGGGGCTGACTAGCTCCCCAATACGCATGGCACCAAAAAACACAATGAAAAACGCAAACCCGAAAAAGCAGCACCTCATATGGAGACACACAAATTGACTGCAGTTGTCTGGACATGGCCGCCAACAACTCAAACGACACCGGGCAACGCATATCAAGACTATGTCGACCGCGACGGAAGCCCTTCAACGCCCGCCGCACCAAGAAGTGCTTAGTGACATCTTGCGGGCCCATAAGCCGGAACCAAAAGACCAGACCCGCCATCCTCTTGTCGACCGCTGACACAGAGACCCCTGAGACAAACAGATGACATAGAAAGAACAACACCGCCGAGGTATAGTCCCCCCAGCTCCGCCCCCACGAGTGAACCTAAAAAGGCCAACCACTCCTGCCAGACCTTGGAGTAAGCCGTCCACGTGGCTACTCTCACAGATCTCCGAATGAAGCCAGCGAGGACTCCAGCGCAACCCTCCACAACCGTCTAGGACAGGGGACCCCGCAACGTTGTGCTGCCGGGGCCAGACTCCGAAACGCGTCCCACTGAAATCGAGACAAGGCCTCGGCTATCTTAAGGACAGAACACGGGATGTGTAGCTGGCGCAACTGAATTTTGCGTCGAGACATGGCGGTAGCCACTGTCTCTTTGAGATCCCCCCAATTTGTCCAGGGGAAGACGGCACTCCATCACCACCATATCAAAGGTAATCACCAAGAAACACAACTCCGTCGTGGGGCCTTCCGTCTTATCCCCCCACAAACGCCGGCATCCAATTGGGAAACGTATGCGGTATCAACCGATACCACCGTTTTTCCTCCTCGTCCTTCTTGCTCTCGTCAGGCTTTACCCTATCCAGGTAAAATTTTTCCAAGGGGAGAAGCAAGAAAATCTCCACACTCACCCTTCCAAATGCGCTCCCGCACTTCAGATTTTAGATGCGCCCCCAACGGACTCTCAAAGCAGACGTACACCGCCGATCAGACGCGATCCGCCTCCACAGCCCCACCCTTCGCCGCCGCAGGTGGATCAACTGGGACCACACCAGCCCCCTATGTCAATCGCGCCACCAGAAATCACAGCGGGCACCGGCAGCCCACCCCTAGCCCCCGCAATAACCGGCAGCGAAAATCCATGATGTCCTCTTCTGGGTCGACCTCCCCACACTCTGATGCCGACAGCTCTCCCTCTGAAAGGCGATCTTCGGGCACCGCCGGAACAACCACCCGCACGGCAGCCACCGCATTCCCCTCCGACTGCAGCTGCTGAGGATCGAGGAGCCCGGGCCAATAGGAGCCTGATGACCCGGCCCTCCATCCACTGCAGAAGGCCCTCATCGCGCAGGAGTGACGTCAGCCTGCCCGGGCCCACGTGACCCGGAGGCCCGAGTGCACCGCGCATGCGTGGAACGGGCCCGACTGCCCGTCCCATCTAACGTAGGCACCTCAGTCCTGGAAGGGCTGCCGGCCGCACCAGGAGACAGGCCGGCGCCCATCGAAGTATATCCCGCACGTCGGGCACCCCCACCAGCTTTGGCTGAAGCTGGAGCCAGTCGGGGAGCTGCACGATCCGGACGCCCATGACGATCAGAAGGGGGGACCGGAGGCAGGACAGGGCCTCCTCCCCGCCTCAGATGGGGATTCCTCCCAGGCCGCCCGGCAGCAGGAGCAGGAGTGCGTTTTGCCGGCGGACACGGAGGGTCCCTACTGGGGCTCCCAGAACGGCGCTGAGCCCGCACCGCCACCTCAGGGCTGAGGCGCACCGGCGGCCTTGACCGCCGAGCACGACGAGGGGGATCTATAGCAGCATCTGAGCCTGCTGGGACACCAGCCAGCACAGATGCTATATGGGTCTGTAGCCAGGAAGCGCCACGGGTCGCCATGGCCTCCCGCAACCAAGTCAAAAGCTCCTTCAAATCACTCATGCTGAAGGAGAGCAGAAAAAAACAGCCAGAAATACCTTCTCCTGGTCCAATTTTTCTGCAACTGGACTCTTCCCATCTCCTCCCAGGATCCCCACCCTCGGAAATCCCACCCTCTCCCACTGACCTCCAATCAGGTAAGCAACCCCTCCCTCCATATTCTTCATATTCTGTTTTTCCTTTCCTATTAACTCTTCCTATGCTTGTCTCCCCTTCTCCCCCTGTCATGCTGTCTCCCCGCACAATTCCCTTTCTTCCTTGTGCTCCATGCCTTTCTGAAAGATTTGAATACTTATTCTAGCTAATGGCTGGCAAAGGCAGCAGGGCCACAACTCCTGCTGGTCAGTAGCAACATGTTTTTACTTTCTAGGCGTAACAACAAAAAAGTTAGAAGAATTGTTCAAAAGACAGTAAGGGAAATAAGGAAAACTTTGAGGACAATTAAAACAGCACTATCTGGGGATGTAATTGCAATCTGCAAGTTCTTTACTTTCGTTGTGTCCTCTGCTGGGAACACTACTGCAAAATCTCCCCTCTCCCAGCAGTCCATCTATTTCCTGTTGGCTTTCGGTCTCTGTACTCTACTCTAAACCAAAGTAGACTCATAGAAGACTACTATGAGCCGTTCTATGTCAGTTGAAATGATGTATAGAAGAGCAACAAGACAGAAGCCTGAAGTCAGAGGGATGTGGGGAAAAAGAACATTTGACAGTAAACTTTCCCACCACTGAGAGAAGGATAAGTTACAGGTTGAATAAATCTCCCAAAATACTCTCCTAAAATGGAACAAATGTTTTTGCACATGCTGACCAATCAGGTATGTTTGAAATATATTTTGCTTCAATTCAAACAGCTGCAGACTTAAGACTTGATGAGGGTTCTGAATATCAGTTACTTTAGAACAATACAAATTGGTCATTAATGGGGAAGCTCAAAGTAGGATATATTCCTTTATCATGAGTTTACATTTATGAACCTCATCTTTATTGGTTAGAAGCAACTTGAGCTTAAAACATTTCCTTCATCAATCCAAAATCAGTACCTACTTAAAGTGGATTAATAAAAAAGAAACAAAATAGCACAATAATACTTTTTTTGAACACAGAAACATGCTGGCAAATCAATGCAATAAAGCAGCTCACAGCGTTTTATCCTTTTGCATTGATGGTGCAGAAAAAAGGTGTATCATTCAGTTGTACTCCGGTCTTTATAAACTCCCCACATTATGATATTGTATGCTGAAAGAGATGCTCCATTTTATCGATTAGTTGGCACATTTTTTTTTTTGATGAATCGAAAAAAAAAAAGGATTAAATACCATCTTTTATTTGAAATGAAATATACAAATGGAGCATTACAAAAAGGTTTACTGAATAAAATGATATGCACATTTTTTGCAATCACGCGGCAATGGAATGCACGGCATTGCAGTACCGTGCATTCCAGTGCAGGCGATCACACTGCAGGCGGGAGGCGCGTTTGGGGTGCCATTGAAATGAATGGAACCACAACACACATCCTGCAGCAGAATTAGTCAGGCCGAAACCAAAAATTACTTTCCCACCTTTTTTTTTATATATTTTTTTAAATATCTTTATGTATTATATTAGACATTTTAATTAAATTCCTGGATTTAAAATAATATGAATTGTAAAACTCCAATATAATAAAATAACTAAAATAAATAAAAGCCCGGTCATCAGGTTAGAGTTAGCCATGAATATTGGCTGGGAAAACTATTGCTCTCGCTCTGGCACACGCAGCGATACCCGTCATGTATAGCACAATCGCCGTTTTCATAGGTAGGTGCACCCGACTTGTGTTTCCGTTAGTATGCGCGTGTTTACGGGGTCCGGGGACTTTAAACTTTTTGGGGCGTATTTTTAATTTTAACTTTTTATTTTATTGCTATCAAATGGGGGGCCTCATGTGATCTCAAATGCACATTTGAGATGACAGGTTCTCTTTAAGGTGACATTAGGGGGTCCATTAGACCCCTAGTGTCACCTTTCCACTCCACTGGGGAATGACAGGAGAACAGAGGAGCAGAGTGGCTGCGAGGGATTCAACTAATCAAAAATAAACTAATCAATAGTGAGAATCATTGACAGCAATTCTCATTATCAATTATAATCGATTTTGTTCCAGCCCTACTCCATTTAATGAATGGCCTATATTTTCAGTAGCAATAAAAATTACTTTCCAATCACAATAACAGAATAAAGCACGCACACTGAAGAAAAACAGTTTTCTGATCATGGTGACCACAATAACCCGACATTGTATGGACAAACATAGTTTGAGAAATCCAGACACAAACCAAATACATAGCTATTGCACTTACTGAGACTGTTTCCGGTTTCATACAATGCATTTCAAAGGATGACTGGTCACAATCATATCAAGTGTGATGCACTTTCCATTTCAACACCACATGAATACAGAGCGCAACACCTACACCTACCGTATCTACTTCCTATCTTCAACTCCTGCATTGCTCATTATGACTAGCTACTGCCTCACAAGTGGGACTAGCTTGAAGAAAAGATCTATAGCTACAGCTACACCAAATACATGGATTAAACCACTGGAAAAACTTACCACACACACACACACACACACACATATATATATACATATATACATACACATACACACACAGTTGTGCTCAAAAGTTTGCAATTGGTAATATATGTACGATTTTTACAGAAAATATGATTGAGCAGGCAAAATATATTTCTTTTATTTCTTACTGGATTCAAATTCAAATGAAGGTCATAACAGCATGGCACAACCTAAAAAAACAAAACATGGAAACAAATGAAACGATACCTGTTCAAAAGTCTGCATTTTGTATTGCCCTCTTTAGTATCAATGACAGCGTGCAGTCTTTTGTAATAGTTGTCTATGAGGTCCCCGAATCCTTGCAGATGGTATAGCTGCCCATTCGTCTTGCAAAATGCCTCTAGGTTATGCAAAGTCTTTGGTAGTCTTGCATGAACCGCACGTTTTAGATCTCCCCAGAGTGGCTCAATGATATTAAGGTCAGGAGACTGTGATGGCCACTCCAGAACCTTCACCTTTTTCTGCTGTAACCACTGGAGGGTCAACTT